CCCCGCCCCGCCCCGCCCCTGACTTCCTCGCCTCCCCACGCCCACCTTGGGCCCGAAAGGTTGTCCCGGCACCGCCCACTATTGTTCCTCTCTTTTCCCGGACTGTGGGGCAGCCGTGAATAACCAGAGGCCACCCTGTTACTCATTAAGCCGCGGGTACTGCCGAAGCCAGCTCTTACCACTGCTGCCGTGCCCGTTTTGCCGCGCAGAAAACGCGGGTGGAAGCGGCTGGATGACTACCCCCAGGTCACCCTGCTTAGTGCAGGAGCCAGGGGGTGTCTGTCTAGAGGTGGCCGCAGGGGCTAGGGCCAGCTCATGCAAGTGCCAGGGAAAAGGCATTGCGGAACCTGTCCAGGGCTGAACCTGTCCGGGGCTGATCTGGAGTGTGAGGCCAGGCCATGGTGTCCCACTTGATCTCTCCTCCTCCGCCTCTCCTTTGGGGATTTTCCCAGCACCTTCCTAATCCTGGGACCTGGGGGGTGTGAGCGAGCGCCCGGAGCCGGAGAGCTTGCCCGCGGGGGAAGTGACTCATTTAGTCACAGCTTCCCTCCTAAGGTCTCGGCGACTGCTTTCCTAACCTAGGAAGAAAGGGCCAGGGGGAGCCCTGGGGGGCTGGTTTGCTCCGCAAAGGCTTCCTTACCATTTCGACGGAAGCTGACGTCGGTGGCTGTGCCCCGTCCCGCAGGATTAAAGATTCCTTTCTCTCATTTCTTTTCTATTTTTCTAAGAATTATTTATTTGCTTAATTCCATTTGTTATTATTATTTTTTAATTTGACCAGACAGCGACAGAAAGAGAGAAAGGGAAAGCAAGAAAGCAAGCCACCAGGTCTGGGACTTGAACCGCAGTCGTTTATGTGGGAATCCAGCGCCTTTATCCTCCATACCACCTGCCAGCCTTTTCTTTCATTTCTAAGAGACTGTGTGAAGACGGGAGTCAAAACATACAGGCAACCTTGTGAAGTCACACCTTACCCCTGTGGCATGGAAGTGGCAGCCAGAGAGCAATCTCAGCTCACTGCAGCGACCTGAAGCAGCGGACTGCCAAGGCAGAAGGATCTGGAAAGAGTTGTGGGGGAGCCAGCAGGTGGCATAGTGGCCAAGACCCTGGTCTCCCACGTGAGGAGGACCACCGTTAGAGTCCAGGAGAATGGAGGAGTGACACAAGGGCTGAAGAAAGCAGAAACCAATACAAAAAGCAGTCATTTCTTTCAGTTACTTTCCCGGTAGGGTGGGGACTGGGAGACAGGCAATAGGAAATGGAGTGTTAGCGCTGGGTGACTTCTTTTGTTCAAGGATTGAAATGGAGGGGGCCTCATTAGCATGCCTATTGAAACTGGCCTGTTTGGGAAACAAGTCTGTTTTCACTTTTGCCTGAGATAATACCTCAGCCTTGACTTAGTGAGGAGGTAGGAGTGACTCCATTTTGACTTTTAGGCTTCTCTCTTGAGGCCTGGGGCAGAGCTCAGGCAGAGGAACAACTGCCTATGAATTTCACTGGACACATACAAGAGCATGCTGGCTCTGGGCCTGGCCACCCTGACCTCCACAAGTGATGAAGAAGCAGAGAGGGCCAGGAGAGGAGGGGATGGCAAGACCAGGCCACACCTGGTAGTGACACCACACTGCCATCTCACGCAAAACCCAAGAGTGAGTTCAAATTGCTAGAAATTCTTCCGGAGCTGGTAATGTTGCTAGGTAGACTAGACCTGTGGGACATGAGGATCTTTGGCTTCATGCAGGAAAGAATTCCAGAGCAAGCCATTGAGGGAGCATCAAAGCACATTTGTTAAAGTGTACAGAGCAGAGTACTCTCTAGGTGGAGCAGCCAAGCATGAGGGGAGATAGGTGAAGTTACCCAGAAGGAAAGACAGAATGGTTACCCCATAGACAGGGCAGCCCGGACTTCAGTGAGTATGGCTTGCCTTAATTCCAGGCTAAATAACGGATGGTTTGTGACACCCAGTGTTTGGCCTTATAAGTATAGTTCCAGTCATTGCCATGGTTATTCCAAACTATCATGGAGTAGGTCAGGGTGTCATCTAGAGCTTTATGCAGTACATGGAGTTGTGGGGGATTTTTAAATAGAATCATGTATTTTATTTATTTATTTATTTTTAAATTTGCTATAGGATACGGGTGTTCACCAGAGAGAGAGAGAGGAAGGGAAAGTGAGAAAACAAGCCACCAGGTCTGATACTCAAACTGCTGTCAACCACGTGGAAGTTCAGTGCCTTCACTACCATGCCACCTGCTGGCACTCATACAGGGAGGTTTAATGAGTCTGAAGGTTAGGCAGTGGTCATTCCAGGTGTGGTTTTTGTTCTACCTTGTTAAGACCCAAGTTCTCAGCCACTTCTTGTCTGAGAGATCTTAGGTGTTTGGAATGTCCCTTGCTTCACTTTGGAATATCCCCACCGTCTCAATATTTCTGAGATTCTGAGTTCCTTCCGTGCTTCGGCCTCACTCCCCACACCCCTGTGCCAATTGTTCCCTTTCCATCCCAGCAGCTTTCTAAAACATCCTCCATGCAGAAACCCCAAAACACAGTGCTTTTTGAATAGCTGACTGGCTCATTTGCAGGTCCCAAAACCCATGCAAGTGCATATACCCATTTCAATCCTTGAACAAAAGTAGCATTTTGATTGCCAGTCAGGTAGACTGGACTAGGAACCTTGCCTGGAGGGCACAAAGTGTCACTCAGACCCTCTGCAAGGTCACCCCCCAGCTCAGACCTGGATAGGTCACTCCCCTGGGACCTAGAGCCTTTTTCCGGTTGCCTCTCCCAACCAATAGCAAGTCTTGCAGTGTAATCCAAGGAACTGGAGATCCCCACGTTTTGGGGGCTGCTCATTTGAACTTGAAGGAAAAGGTTCACAGACTGCAAGGACACCTCCACGTTTCCAGAACGGGGACAGATAATGGAACATCCACGAACAGCACAAGTCATACCCAGACCTGGGTGGGCACCACTGGCTGACCTGGTTGTGTCCTCTCAGTGGGGCCGGCAAGACATGGCACTTCTCACATGAAGCCTCCAGGACTGTCTGATCCAGAAGTCAAGTGCCAAAGGACACAGGAGAGACCATGCCCTCCTTCCAACTCTGCTGTCTACGCTCCAGTTTTCCATTCACCCTTCCCTCTGACTGGTCTCCTCCTCTGCCATTATCTCAGTCATATTCCCTATGAATTCCACCTGGGGATAGTGAAGATAGTGAAGATTGTCTTCTATACTGGAGCTCAGCCTCCTGGTCCACCAAAGGATGCCACTCTGCCAGTTGTTCCAGGGATGGATGAGATACAACAAGGTGGTATTATTGGGGCTTCTTGTCAAACACAGCCTCCTTCCAGCTCCCACTCATCATTTAGAACCCTTCAGTGTCCTAAGATTTCATTATTGATGCTTTTTCCTTTTTTTCATTCCAGTTCACTAAAGCTTACATCTGTGTTGCCATAGATAACCCCAAAATGTGCATAGATATAAACTAAGGGGGGATAAACATTTTCTGCAAGTGCTAGAAACTAGCTCAAGAGACAAAAAAGAGTGTTTGGTGGGGAAATTGCCAGACCTGTGGAGGTGAAGTGCATATACACATCTTTCCAGCCACTCTCTTCTGCTTACTCTCTGAACACTCCCAGCTCCTACTCCAGGCCCGTCCCCGCACTCTGTGTTGTTTTACTCTACCCAAGCCTTCCTTCGTCACTTAGGCCTCAACCTATAGGTCATCTCCAGAAAAGCCTTTCCAGACCCCCAGTGCTGCCTATGGCTCACCCTGAAATTCTAGCTAGTTGCAGCTTGAAGAATTTCAACTGAATTTTTGCTTTTAAGTTGATTTTTCCCACAAGTAAGAGAGACAGAGACAGGAAGACAGCACTCCCAACCGGGCCCTGACTCTACAATCCACTCCTTCCATTCCCTGCTTCAGTTGGCCCTAGTTCATGGACATACAAGTGCCTGACATCCTCAGGAAGGTCTCCAGGCATAAACCCAGGATCTTCCCATTGAGTGAGCCTTATAGAGCTTCGCATTTTATCTTTACACCACCTTCTGGGCCCCTTTTATTTGAATGTTGATTGATGTCATTGCAAATTATTAACCTGTAAGGAGTAATGCAGAGGGATCCCTCATAGCCTTTATCTAGCTTCCTCCAATGGTAGTATCTTGAAAACATACCCTAGATATGACATTAACACCATCCACCAATCTCCTTCAGAATCCCCATTTTTCTCATAGTCGCTTTTGTGTTGGATTTTGTTCTATATAATGTTCTATATAATTTTCTCACACATGTGATCCCACCAAAGTCAGGATACTGCGCATTTCCGTGTCTAAACAATGTCTCAAGTTACCCTGGGATATCACACCTACCTTCCTCACAACTCCGTCATCCCCATTCCCCAGCCCTGGCATCCACTGATGTGTCTTCTATTTCTAAGAGTTTGTCATTCACCAGTGGTATATACAAGGCAACATAGTGTCTAATCATTTAGAAATTCACTTTTCATGCAACACAATTCCCTGGAGATTTATCCATTCTGTTAAGAGAGAAAAGCAGCTTATAGTAGTCTGTCAGCCGAGGTCCCCTAAAATAGCAGTGGAGATAAAAGCTTGAGGCCTTGTTACGCCTACTCCCACTGGGATTTTTGCCCAAAGGAAATATCTTAGTTTACAGTGAACAAACTGATTGGCTGGGACAGTTCATAAAGTGCCCTCCACCCTTTCTTAATCTCAGTGTTCCTGGAATTCATGATGTAAAGAATAATGCACAGCCAATCAGTTGCCTACATTACTTTCAAATGGACCAACGTAATTTTTTCACAATTTGTAAGCTCCCTCTTCTTGCCCTGCTCTGTTATATAAACCAGCTCTCAGCAGGCATTTCTGTGCACATATTCTGGACAACCAGAATCTGTGATTTGTCTTAAGTCCTCAGTTCAGATAAACTACTTTTGTTTCATTTG